TAAATAGAAAACATTTAAGTTTTCATATACGTGGGCTTAACAAAATAGCCTATCTTGCAAGGACAATTAAGATAGCAGACAGGCCTTTTTATCTGTTCCCTCTCCCAGTCAGTTCAACACTAGTACAATTGAGATTTTGAACTCTAATTACCAAATTATCCAGCTCAGGGTTGGAGGAAAATAAAGGTTTTTCTGTTCGAATCTGGAAATTAGAAGAGAGTGGGGAGAGATTTTAGTAGAACTCAACAGACTTCAAATAGTTAACTCAAATATTTAGACCCGGAATTGGTAACAGGACAGAAACGGAATGTTCGATACAAATTTTGCTTTGCCAAGTATATCAGATACCTACAGCTATACACACACACACACACACACACACACACACACACACACACACACAGACACTAATGGTCACACCCAAACACACAAACATAAGAACAGACACAATAGTCAAATACAGACACAGACATACACATGGACAGTCTCTCACACACGCACACACAGAAAATTACAGTCTCTCACACACACATATATGAACATACACCTGCAGTCATTCACACATAGCACACCAGGCCAGACACTAACAGTCTCTGACACGCACAGACATTGACAGTATCACATTTAGAACTCATACTCACAGTCAAACATACACTGACATGCACTCTCACAGAGACAGTCACTGACACTCACACACACAGTCAGACACTTTCTTTACACACACACACACACATACACACAGACACACAACACACACACACACACACACACAGACACACACACAGACACACAGACACAGACACAGACACACAACACACACACACAGACACACACACACACTCACACAGACACACACACACACAGACACACACAGACACACACACACTCACACAGACACACACACACACACAAAACACACACACATACACACAGGCACACAACACACACACAGACACACACACACACAGCACACACACTTACACACAGACACACAACACACACACACTCACACACTCACACACACAGACACACAACACACACACACA